AAAGTTACCTTCCTCTTTTGTTAACTATGATTTCTTGGATGTTTCTGTGATTGGTAGAAGGCAGATTGGTACATTATCTTGAATACATTCACAAAAAATAATACAACAGTTTTTACCTATATATAAAACTTTATATTATGCTTGTTATTAATGGCTAGTGGCCATAATGGTAAATATTACCTGCTATTCCAGATTCATTTTGCTCTTAAATACCATTTTCTGTGAAGAAATGTTGGAAATAAGAACATTCTTGGCTTCTCTGAGTCATAAAAGAGTAGATTAAATAATCCCTTTTTGCATCATATGTGAATTATTATATTACCATATCAGGCTGACTATAGGAAATGAGGTTCTAATCATAGATTCCATTCCTTATCTGCAGTCTGAAAAATGCTAAAACCATTATGAGAGGATATTTGTCATTCTTAAATTTTTATAACTGTATTAGTAAAAATGTGTTGTTCTTTACAGATAATTCCTTTATGTAACAGAGTCTCTGTTTAAAGAGAAGTCCAATACAAGTCATCTTAGATATAAGGATTCCTAAAAAAAAGGAAAGACTATCTAACCTTGCCAATAAGTATTTAATAACAGAACAACATTCTAAACTGGCGTAATAATCCTTCACCATACATACCTTTACTAATACTAATTTTCTGTTTAAACAGTACTAAGTATGTTTGAACATGAATCTCACCTGAACTTAATCATTGGTTTTTATTGCTATAATTAAAGCATTATAGTTTTTTAAATATTCATTTTTATCTGATTAGGTATGAAAGTTATAAAATAAGAAAATTAGAAATTAATATAGAGGTTCTATGTCCTGAACCTTCTACTAATAAATTATTTTTTGGATGATCATTAATTTTAATTATCTGCAAGGCCCAATGTATTTCTCTGAAAAAAAGATGTCTTAGTTTACTACCAAAATATATTAAAGAGAAAAGATTCTCTTATTTCAGTGAATCTGAAATAAACTTCTTGCTTTAATGGTAAATTATTACCAGTAGTGGAAAACATCTATCTATCTATCTATCTATCTATCTATCTATCTAATTAAGGTACTGCACATCCTACTCTCAAATCCTAGTTTTTCTGCCAGGTATAGTAAATAACTATATTTTTGCCATATCATTTTATAAACTCTTATTTGCTTTATCTTAAATGAAAAAAAAACTGTTAACCATGATAAACAAAATTACCATAGTACATCATCCTATATCCAAAGTTATGTAAGAAAAATGCAGATATAAGAACTAACGTTTAATCTGGCATCTGGTTTCCTGTAGTGACTTACTAAATAGTTTTTGAAAATGCAGTGAGGCTCAAAAAGAAAAGTATCCTTTGCTTCTTAAGCAGTTTTTCATTTAAAATCTCACATATCCAATAGTGCAGAATTTGCAGAAAGTATTCTCTCTCTGTGTATTAGGATTCCTATAATAAAGCTGAATTATGAGGAATTCAGGACAGGTAAGTATTGTATCACATATTAAATTATGGCATTTAATGCCATATGATAAAGATAGTTTCATAAAAACAAATAATACATTCTTATAATTTAATTATGTTTCATGTTTTTCCTGTCTTCAGAATTCTATGTTTAGTACTTTCATTGTGTTTCTTCCACTTTTAGATTTGCTTTCGAAGGAGGAAATTGTTACTATGTGTGGATAATCCACAGATTAATCTACAGACAAGGAAACATGAAACATAACTAAATCAGGGTGGGATGCTACAGGTTCTGCATGGTTCTAAAGAACCGGTAGTTCTGAAAAGCAGCAGACACCAAACCAGTTCTATGTTTGCTGCTGTTTGGCCCACCCACCTGCCCAGGCTCTTACCTGTCCTTTATTTCCTGCTTTTTCAACCTCAGATGCTTTGCGCGGCACTGCTGAGGTTGAAAAAGCAGGAAAAAAGAGGCTTTTCAAATGCTGCGCACCCACACGCAGCGCTTTTTAGCTGTCTGGGAGACACAGCTTAAAGTTTTTTTACACACACAAAACATAGTCACCGAACCAGTAGTAACACCGGTTGAATCCCACCCCTGGACTAAATGATGAGAATATGGTATTTGATTATATAAAGGTATCTTGGTCATGTTTTGTAGAATTCATGCTGATTTGTTCTAACCTACAAATTTTGCTGGGATTGAATTATTCAATTGGCATATTGTTTGATCTTCTCTGCAATAGGCTCTGTTTCAGTTATTCTATAGCCTCTGCAATTTCTTTACTCTCCAGGTTGTATTTCATACAAACAGTAGTTTTGCTTTTCTTATTACAGATAGTCCTTGAGTTATGACCATAATGGAATCTGCCCACCACTGTCATAACTTCTGATGGTCATAAAGTGGGTCAGTCATATGACCAATCCAATTTTATGACCTTTTTTCTGTGGTCCTTAAGCAAATCATTGCATTTGTTAAGCAATGTTGTTGTTAGGTGAATGCTGCTGTAGTTAAGCAAACCAATGGTTTGTTATGGATGCGGTTTGCCAAAAGCAGAAGTAAATGTTGTTTTTTGGCAGACTCATAATAAAACTTGGTTACATGACCATGGAATGCTGCAAAGGGCTGTAAATGGTGTTCACTTGAGGAGCACCCTAAGTTACAGTCATGTGACTATGGAGGGGAACGACCAGTGTTGGGATTCAGTTTTTTACTACCGGTTCTGAGGGCGTGGCTTGGTGGGCATGACAGGGAAAGGATACTGTAAAATCTCCAGTCAGAGATGGTATTTGCTGGGTAAGTGATAATTATAAGTCAAGGACTAGCTGTTTTCTACTTTCCTTGTCTTAAAGTTTTCAAATTGTTCAAAGCTATGCACATTTTCTTTATCCAGATTTAAGTGCATTTTCCATTTAGCTTTTCTTTTCTTAATTATTGCTTCATATTTAAGCCTCCATTCTTCTGTGTTTACATTAGATATACTAGCATATATCAGCTGGTTCATTTGGGTCATAATTTAAACAGCTTCATTAATATTTTTATTGTTTCAGCCAAAGTCTTCAAAGTTAAATTGATTCAATTTTGCCAAAAATATTCTTTTGGCTTCTTTCATTTGGTCTTTGAATTCTCAACTAGGTCTTGATTAGCTGATAGTATTTGCACTTCTTTAGCACTTTAGCAGTTTTTTTTCCTTGTTCTTCATTGAAATCAATAGCCTCTTTACTTTCTACTGTATGTTGCTCACTCTGCAAATTGGTATTATTCATAGTTCTGAATAAATTGAATTCATTTTTCAATTGCTTCCAGTTCAGTATTGATAAAGAATTTGTGTTTCAGAATTACACATTTTGGGTCCATAAACTATTATTAATTACTAAATGAAAATGTTTTTTTTCTCCAAAACTGGTACATTCACTTTTGAAATCTATATTTTAATTGTTCCAATTGGTAGAAACATTCCATAATTGACTAGTTTTATTCCTTTGACCAAATTCTTTGTTTTTGATTGCCTTTCAGTAGTCTGTCAGCTTCACACCTAGTTGCCTAGCATGGGGAATTGAACCTTATATCTCACTTGTCAATGAATATCTAGAAGCCATAGCATCCAATGTGAGTTTTGCTAATCTGGACAACAGTTGATCCAGCATGAAATTCAAATTATGTATTCTCACAGCATTGAATGGGGAATTTTGGAACAGATTTAGTCTGGTTCTTCAGCTGATATGGTTGCACCTGTTCAGCATAGTCCTTGACATCACTAAAGCACCAAGCCCTTCCACTGTAATGAAGTACTATTCCTTTGGAGGGGATTTTATTTATTATTGGTCTCATAGTCAACCCAATGTTTAGACTGGATTTGGTATTTTTATTGAGTGCTTCCCCAAAACCTTGAATAGACAAATGTTTGATAGTGTTAGAGATATTGTACTGTTGCAAGTAATGCATCTTTCATATATTTGGCATACATCTAATAAGCAATGAAGTATTTTATTTATTGCATTTCTATCTCCTATTTATTTAGAAGTTTATGGTAGCGTACACAGGAACCTCTATTTATTTATTGTATCCTACCTTCATTATTTTTACAAATAACTCAATGTGGCAAACATACTGATCACATCCTATTTTCCCCACAAAAACAACACTGTGAGGTGGGTTGGGTTGAAAGAGAGAGACAAATCCAAGGTCATTCATCTGGCTTTCATGGCTAAGGCAGAAGTTGAAATCTCTTACTTCTAACCTAGTACCTTAACCAGTTAGACACACAAGTGGCTCTTCTCCACGCTGCTATGAGAGTCCAGGAATGGGTAAGACTCCTCCCTCTGACATCATTGAGCTGAGTCTGCCAAAGTATAAAAGCCAGCCCCTGCTGCTGGGCCCCCAGCTTTTTGACTCAGCTCCTTGAGCGTCAAGAGCAGTCACATGGTCCAATCAAGGTGACATCTGGTTGCCAGGTAACATCTCTCCTCTCTCTCTGGGCAGATGTGAGAATGTCCTTGGTTCTCAAGACAAAGTATTTTGTTTTGGCTACAAAACCCCAGCTATCTCTATTCCCCTCTCGCTATCCATCAGCTCCAATGTGGCAACACTGAAGTGGCAAAATGGCTTCAGTCAGGTCAGCTTCAGGGTTGACATAGATTAAGCTACAAAAGAATGCGCCAAAGCCATTCTGTGTGCTCCATGGTCAGAACTTGAGCCTATGTCTTTTTAATCTATGTACAGTATTACTTTGAATTTTAATAAGGTATTTATGTTCTTATTCTTAGATTATTTGATAGAAGAAAAAAGGCTGTGAACATGGAGTCTGTTTGGGAATGCGGTTAGTCAATAAGTTATGATGATACAGTACAACTTGTATGGTGGTATAGAAGAAAAAAACAAGACAAAGTATTTTATTAGTGTTTTGGAAATAAAAGTATTCTACTGGACTATGCTAAAATCTATTAGTGTGAAGAGTTATTCAGTCTCTGAAGAACTTTAAGATAAAAAGTTGAAATATCCAGCAATGACTGATAAATAATTTGGAGACCCTCATGACTGTTGCAGAAGAATGGCTGTAATTTGGATGATCCATTATCTTTGGCTTTTGGCAGTTCTAGCAAGATGCAGTGGTGGCCACAGCCTATTCTCTTGTGAACCCATAATCCTGAGGATGTGCCAAGATCTTCCATACAATACCACATTTATGCCTAACCTTTTGAATCATTATGATCAACAAACAGCAGCTCTAGCAATGGAAGTAAGTATTTACATTCAAAATATAAATCAAGATCTTCACAGTTGTTCAGAATTATTAACATAGAACAATTAAATGTAATTACTACTTTTTTGGTATTTGGGGGTATTTGCAAAGAATGAAACCTTCATGAAGGATCATCACATAAGATTATAGGTTCTCTGGATCCAGAGGTTTTTATTATTATATTAAATTGCTTTTTATATTATGAATTATGATAATTCTTTAAAATGAAAATATATAATGTGGGTAAAAGTGGCTGTCATGGATTAGTGCAATAACCGTGGATCTTGAACCAACTTTATTTACTTTTGGTAAACTGCTCATTCAACATTCTGAAAGAATATATTATCATCTACTCTTCTAAGATATGGATTTTTTTTTTGAACTTTGCAGTATAGAAACTTTGGGGGGAATGTGCCTGAAAAATATGTATTCTCCTTCCATGCTTAGTCTCTTATTTGTAATACAAAAATTTTAATCCATCTTAAAAATGAAGTGCCATTATGAAATTTGAGATTTTACAAGAGGAAAGTACTAGGATTTGGCACAATAGCATTGTCGTTTCATATCAACCATTCAGTATTGCCTGATGTTAAAATGGTACGGTACTATCCACACTCCCTTTAAAGAACTTTGTCAACCCCATATCAGTATCCCTTTAATTCTTTTGCATTTTCTCCTGGGCTTGTGTTTTCTGCAGGCTCAGAAAAAAGATGTAGCCCTGCTAAGGAGGTACTGATAGGTATGGAATGTATACCCTCATTTATTCTGAAGCAGCTTTTTTACTTTTTATTGAAGTATTGATCAAATGTATATTTTGAATCCAAAGCAATCCACATATATTATTCCAGTACAGATTGAAATTTGATTGCTTGTTATGTCTTGCAATTTAGATAGATTTCCCCCCCAAAGGTTCAGATTTATTTGAAACTTTTTAAATCAAATTCCTTAAGCTTTGACTGCTAAACATTTACATATGTTGAAAGGGTTGCAGTTTATTTTCCATCTTGTCCATTTTTATAGCTTTGTGAACTTTAACTTTTAATGATTGTTTGAGGCTGTAAAAAGCATCTCATTGCTTTTTGAAAGATAAGATGCTTTGTGATTTCTTTATATAAAACATTAGGGCTGCATTTGTATTAATCCATTTGAGCTATCCAGTTTGTATAAACAGGCTAGGAGCTGTCCATCAGCAGTTAGTACTGTGAACTGTTAATTTACCCCCTCTCCAAAAAGTTACATCTAAACCAGGGTGGGCAATTAATTTTCTCAAGGGGCCACATGGAAAACTGAGACTGTGTGGAGGGCCACTGCTACCACACTGCCCCTCCGCCTGCCGGTGGCCTACTTCCTCCTGCCACTGGGCCAGACAAAGATAGCTGGATGTGGCCTATGGACCATAAAATGCCCAACTCTGATTTAAGCATATTGCCTTTATTAGGAATGTGTGTTAATCTGTTATATAGTTGTTATATAGTTTGCTTCTGTTGCTGCTTGAGTTTTGTGGTATTTTTATTGTTTCTGGAACAGTTGGTTCCCTCCTCAATCATTTCTCATGGTTTTTTTTTGTCTTATGCTATTATCAGCTTCCTGAACTCGATGCCCTTGAGATACTTTGTTATTCCACCTTCCAGTTCCCTCAGCAGGCTGAATGGAAGATAGTAAATAAAATATGAAGATTTTATTTCAATAATATATATTTTGAAACAATGTTATATTTAAATGTTGGCTTTGTTTAGACTCAATGAGTTAAATGTCTTAGTATTAGAATGAATTCAAAATGTAAAAAAAAAGTCCCCGTGGATTGTATTTTGCTAGTCGTTGCCAATTCTAGAAGATGGTGTGTGTCAAGGCCATTGAGCCAGTGCAGTCTGAAGATATTTTCATGGTTAAGTGGCCAGCATGATGTCATAGAACACTGTTACCTTCCCACCAAAGTGGTACCTATTCATCTACTTGCATTTGCATGCTTTCAAACTGCTAGATTGGCAGGAGCTGAAGTGAGGAGGGAAGCTGACATCATCATGTGCTGCTCGGAGCTTGAACCTGGGCTGCTGGCTTTCCAGACACCCAATTCAAAATGTAGGAGAACTGGATAAGAATATAATTCTTTTATTGAAAATCGTGAGAAATGTGCGCTGCTATTTTAAGTAATCCACCAGAGTCCTCCACAAATACCCGCCAAAAGTACTATATTTTTTTCAGTTCAAGCTCACTGTAAAAAATCATTTTGTGATTCTCAGAAATAATGCTGCTGAATTTCAATAGCAAACAATTAAGAAATGAAGAAATACTTTTCTACTGCTTTTCTTTTAAGTTTTACATATGCATCCAGAATGTCCCTAATCCCAAAACTTTCCCTGTTACAATGGAAATGTGAAAATGTGGGAGTTTTAGTGGAGCACTGTTAAATTATCTGGAACCACAGCGAAAATCTTTAATATTATGATAAAAGCCTCATCTACATTTTTCCTTAGTTATTAATCTCTTTAAAGCCCCAAACATATGAGTTATTGGAATGGCAGAAAAAAGTAGTTATCCAGACCTAAGTGTTAAATGTTGCCATAGATTTCAGGGGCAGCTTTGCTATTTCATAGCATGCAGACCTGTTCAATGAAGATGCAGGATTTTCAAATTATTATTCCAGCATAACTCCCTGATAAATCAGAGTAAAATGATTTGTGGGTGTATTTGCCACAATTGCCTATTTCATGGTGCCTCTCCTGTATATCTCTGGGTATATTAGCAAGACCCTTTTTCTTTGATAACTGTTCCTATGGTTACCAGCCTTTTGTGGTGTGACAAAGGTTAGTGTTCTGATTCTCATGAGCCAAATTATACCCTTTGACTCTACCCTTTTCATACTTCAGACTAAGCTTGCCCTGTGGTAGGTTTGAAATCCTATGAATGTAGTGTTCCCATGGTAATATGTATGGAAAACTGAAAGGAGGGGGCAGATTGTGAATAGAACATGCAAACCTTATTAATTTGAATGTAAATAAAGGAGGAAGACTTTAAGGTTTTAAGGTTCAGTAATTGGTTAGTAGAAAAGAACTTTTTCCAGTTATAAACTTGTTTATGTTTTCTGTTTCTTGATTTGGATGAAATTAAATTGTTCATGTCATGATCAATAGTAAAATAAGTGTTAAACTGAGTTTATGTTTAGTTCCTCATTTTACAAAGAAGCTTCCAACTGAAGTTCAGAATATACAAGTGCAGTTGAAAGGAGGGAGGAGAGAAATTTTGCTAGTCTAAACATAAGCAGTTACCATACATTCAAGAGGAATTATCTATAAGAAAATTGAATTTATATTTTGTACGTTATATAATTGATTATGAGCTAAAGAAATGTGGGAGGTTGTATTTTCTGGACTCGATATTTTGACAATTACTCTCTTAGAGGAAGGGTAAAGGAAGTAGACTATCATGCTACTGGAATTCAGAATATGAATATTCCCTCTAATCTGTTTAAAATAAATATAAACATAGGCAAGAATCCTATTAAAATGCAATTCATTTTTATTTAAAAAGCAGAAAAGGTACATAAACTCTATCTTGACACTGATTATAATGGAGCATACTAATTAAAAATTTAAAGAGGAAAAACTATTTGAATAAAGCTCCCTTTGCCCTCTTATAGAAACAACCTTTTGCTGCTAGATGCCTTTATATATATATATGCTTTCTTCACATGATTTTTAATTTCAAGCTAAAAAAATGTATTATTAAAACATTCCTTCTTTTTCTCTCCCTTATCTTCTAATATTTCATATTGTTGATCCTCTCCCAGTATTAAACTGCAAGCTTTTGTCGGCCTATATTGCTTCTGTAAGGATTCTGTACTGTAATAATTTCTGAAATTTTAGTTGATAATATATTGCTTTTGGCTTCAAGTTAAAATCTGGTCATTTAATTTAATCTTTTTTCTAAATCCTGCATTTAAAGTATTGAAGGAATAAGAGACTGATAAAATGACTTTCTGCATATAGGTAATTGCTTATTCAGAATTTGCATTACTCTAATAATATACGTTCACTGGGAATATTGGCTGTCATTGGGAGTGCTGACAACTTGTCTTCCAGTACTTCTTATGTCTAGACATTGTATAATAATACTGGAATATGAAATTGAGATGCTGTCTCGTATCTAATTTGCACCTTTCCTCCAAATAATTCCAAATACCATACATTTTATTACATCCTCAAAAATTCTGAATCGACCAAACTAAGAGGGAATTATTTGTTCAAGCACCACCAAGTAGATTTTTTTTGCTAGTCATTTCAGTCAATATTCTACCCCATTATCAGTACAATATTTTTTGTCTATGTCTGCAGCCAATCATATGTTTTTCAAGCAATATTCAACTATTATTGCCTTAATTTCCTTTTACTTTTCCCTATCTCTTTTCTCTGTTCTCTACGTAAAAATATGATAATGGGCTGAATACGCTATCTAAACATTTAATATATGACTGTTTTCTAAAGAATTCTTAACCTGAACATGCATTCCGGTTTAATACATATATTACATTGCCAAAGAAGGGTAGACTCCTTTGTATATTAAAATTATTTTCTACCTAGAGTCCAATATTTAAATGTTCAATATTTTAGGTATAACATTTGAGGTAATTTTGACTGAATATACAGCACTGAATAGTTTGGGAGTATAAATCCAGTAGTGCCCAAAATGTAAGAAGTACACACACACACACACACACACACACACACACCAACAAGAAAAGGTTAATGTCTGAGTGTGTAGCATTTTCTTGTCTAGTTGGTATGCTTTATCAATATATCTCATGAAAGCCTATTATATTACTTATGTATTATGAAGCAGATCAACAGTAGGCATTATGGAATTGATTAAGTTGTAAATAACTATTGTATAATTTATTGTATAATCGTTTGGGAGAGGGTGTTTCATGCTCTTGGCAGATGGGCCTCGTTCAGTTTTATATCACAAGTTACATAGAGTTATATTAGTCAGAAATAGCATAGTAAAATAGTAAAAAACAGCTAATGTTCTCAAACTTTTTTTTAGAACTTTCCTGCTTTTTTTTGTCTGATATATATATTATTTTACCTGTTTTCCCAAAACTGTAAGGATTCTGAAAAAACATAGTACACAATATAAAATTTGGCTGTTGAAATATTGGCCCAGAGCCACTTACTTTTACTTTTTTTTTATAGCCATTTCATCCTATGGTAAACCTTGATTGTTCCCGAGACTTTCGACCATTCCTATGTGCTCTCTATGCTCCCGTTTGCATGGAGTATGGTAGAGTTACCCTCCCATGTCGCAGAATTTGTCAACGAGCATATAGTGAATGTTCAAAGCTCATGGAGATGTTTGGTGTGTCTTGGCCAGAAGACATGGAATGCAACAGGTGAGTGAATTCTCAGGATTTGTATTTATTAAAATTACTTAAAATTACTATTACATTAAAATCACCTGTATAATGTTTTTTTCAAGCTGTATTTTCAGACAACATGTCATACACCTCTTGGGGATGAGACCAGTCCTGAGCTCCCTGCTCTTTTGTATAATCTATATTTTCATACTTGAAAAGTTTTACATTAGTTTTTAATCAATCATGGAGTTAGAAAAATGGCTTTGCCATGTTTTACAGCCCATCCTAAGCACGGTTTCTTTTAAAAACTTATCACAAGCTCTGGTGAATGCTTTTGGAGGACACTGCCAGCTTGCCTTTGTTAAAACTGAAAGCAGCTTCTACATAGGGGTACCACTTGCATAGAAGCTGTTTCTGGCTTTGTAAGTGACAGATAGAAGTCAGCTTGAAACCAATTACACTGGCCTTTATTTCATTGAAAAGAAACAAGTAACTTCCACAGTACAAATCTCTGAGGGAAATCATACCTACAGGCTATTGCAGTCCAGTTGTTAGATTCCAGAATTAAAGTCTGAAAAAATATGGGGTAGAATATTTAGTAGAGTTGAAAGATGTTGAATAAGTACTAAGATAAAACTGAAAAAGGATGCAATAAATTCTGAATGAAAAATGGAGCAGAAGAATAGGAATACATCTGTGTTATTTATATGCTTAATCAGGAAAAGTATATCTTAGTTAGATATAAGTGGATAAGCAGTGCTATATTAATATTTCAGATATTTTATATATTATGCTGACTTTTAATAACAATGTGTTGGCTAAAGGACCTTGTGATGCAGATTGTATAAGGCAAGGACTCCAGATTTGTTTTTGAAGCGTTTGTGCTCTAAAATTGACAGTAAAAACTGCAATAGTCATGGCAAATTCCAAAGCCATACCTGGCCACAAAAATATACACACAAAGCAGTAGCCTTTTTCTTTTATTCATTAAATGTTTTAAGATGGTTGGTTGGTTGGTTGTTTTTCTTGGTTAGCTACAAAAATCTCTTGGATTATTTACCGAATAAAAGCAGTTGACTAAATATCATATTTAATATGAAATCAGGCAAATCTTCAGCAATGAGCCTCTGAACAGCAGCTGGTACTGATAGTTGGATATATGAAATTTATTAAACTAAAATTTGTATAAGAATTTGATTTCTATCCATAGAATCCTATAATTTAATTTAATTTTCTCTTAGACTATTCCTTCAAATCAATTCTTTTTAAAGAACCAGAACAGGCAGAAATGTTTGCTTATATTTAAAATCATTACAAGTCCTTTGGTCTTGCTGTTCTAGGTTCCCAGACTGTGATGAGCCTTACCCTCGTCCCATTGACCTCAATGTAGTTGGGGAACCAACAGAAAAAGCAGCAGTGGAAGTGCAAAGAGACTATGGTTTTTGGTGCCCTCGAGAACTGAAAATAGACCCTGATCTGGGCTACACATTCCTGCGGGTACGGGACTGTTCCCCTCCTTGTCCAAATATGTACTTTAGACAAGAAGAACTTTCTTTCGCACGATACTTCATTGGTGTGATCTCCATTGTCTGCCTTTCTGCTACCTTGTTCACTTTCTTGACTTTCCTGATTGATGTTACAAGATTTCGCTATCCAGAAAGACCCATAATCTTCTATGCTGTTTGTTACATGATGGTGTCCCTCATTTTCTTCATTGGCTTTTTGCTAGAGGACCGGGTTGCCTGCAATGCCTCCGGCCCTGCCACTTACAAGGCTTCCACAGTGACACAGGGCTCTCACAATAAAGCATGCACCATGCTTTTCATGGTACTGTATTTCTTCACCATGGCTGGGAGCGTTTGGTGGGTGATTCTTACCATCACTTGGTTTTTGGCAGCTGTCCCAAAATGGGGTAGTGAAGCCATTGAGAAGAAAGCCCTCCTCTTCCATGCTAGTGCATGGGGCATCCCTGGAACCCTTACCATCATTCTCCTAGCTATGAATAAAATAGAAGGTGATAACATCAGTGGCGTATGTTTTGTTGGCCTTTATGATGTAGATGCCTTGAGATACTTTGTTCTTGCTCCTCTCTGCCTGTATGTGATGGTTGGAGTTTCTTTGCTACTTGCTGGCATCATTTCTTTAAATCGGGTTCGTATTGAAATTCCCTTAGAGAAGGAAAACCAGGACAAGTTGGTGAAATTTATGATTCGGATTGGCGTCTTCAGTGTACTGTATCTTGTGCCACTCTTGGTTGTCATTGGCTGCTATTTTTATGAGCAAGCTTACCGAAGTGTGTGGGAGACAACATGGATTCAAGAAAGGTGCAAGGAATATCACATACCTTGCCCTTATCAGGTAAGTGAGCCTATCTCTTAAATCATTACCTGATGGTCAATTCCTTTTATGTCAAGGCAGAAAGCATACTGTGTTTTCTGTAACTTTGGTACCAGTCTCCTGCAATATATTCGTCAAGTAAAAGCATACTACCTGGCATAATTAGATGGCTAGAAATATGACTCAGAAGAAAAACTGAAAACTGAAATTGAGAATGTGAACATGAATGTGAATTTTTAGAAGGTGTGATCTTCAGAGAAAATAGAATCATTTGGTAGTTTTTAAAAAATATTCTATTACTTTAAATTCCCTGAAATAAAAAGGACTTCAGTTAAGAAATGGGGACATTAAAACAATTTAAATACACTAGACACTAAGCATATCCATATAGAATTGCATACAGTATTTTTTGTAGGTTTACAATGTAAAGATACACATCTAAGCACTTGCCAAACATGAAAAATGATCAGAAGAATACACTGAACATGCCAAAGGACTATTAGGTGGATGAGGGAATTACACACCAGTATGGAATGGAGAGGATGGTTAACTGAACAGAAGCAATCTTTATTACAGTATCTTGAATAGAGCTCATTCAAAAGGAATGAATTACAACTACTTTCCTATTAAATCCCTTTTTCTTGTAAGCTGATAAACTGCTGTTATGAGATGGCGAATAAGATTCTGGAATAATAGTGCTTTCTTTTGTATGTATCTCACGAGGTCATAGTTGAAAAAAAGGTCATGTGTGATAGATTTCCAATTTTGGCATTCTAGTCTCCAACCATAAACAGCATATTTTACTTGCATGTTCTATCAATTTTACATGAATCTTGAGCATAAAACATGTCAACCTCCTCTTCTAGTTTGGTATTCCAATGTAATAAATTGAATATCATGATGCTGTAGTCTTTTGTGGTTGGAATTTGAGGAAAAAATGTTTCAAAAATAGTTTTGATACTATCCAAAGAAATTACATTCAAGCAATAGTAATCTATCTTTGAGGTTGCTACTAGTAGCAGTTGGAAACAACTGATTACAGATTAACAGAGTTGGAAGGGACCTTGTAGCAGGAGACCATACACCATTTCTGACAAATGACAGACAGTCCAATCTCTTTTTGAAAGCCTCCAATGATGAAGCTCCCACAGCTTCTGAAAGCAAGCTGTTCCATTAGTTGATTGTTCTCACTGTCAAAAAATTTCTCTTTATTTCTAGGTTGAATCTCTTTGATCAATTCCATCTATTATTCCTCATCTGGCCTTCAGGTGCTTCAGGAAAATACCTTGACCCTTTCCTCTCTGTGGCAGTCCCTCAAATATTAACTTAATACTTAAACTTAAAGACACATTGTTTTGTTTGTTTGCTTGTTTGTCTATTTATTTAATATTCCTCCTTTATTTTTATAAGTAACTCAAGGCAGCTCCTTCTTTTATTTTCTACACAATAACCCTGTGAAGTGTGTTGGGCTGAAGGAGAGTGATTGGCCCATCACCCAGCTGATTTTCATGCCTAAGGTGGGCTAGAACTCTTGGCCAAAACCAAACAAACCACACTATGGCTTAGGATAATGCTTAGAAACCCAGTATCTGTCTTGCTTGAAATGTGTTGGCTATTTTATGTTTCCCATCACTAGATCGGTGGTGGTTCTTAGGCATACTCTTTTTAACTATGCGGAACAGCACATAGATAAATGACAACCCTGAGGGTTTTTTTTAAAATTTATGACATTTATATAATCATCCATCTCACAATGAAGTGACAATAGACAGCTTTCAATAAAAACAATAACAATCAAAATGTTAAAAACTGCCATTAAAAGATGCCAATAGTATTATTAACAATAAGATAATGGGGTGGGTCTCACCTTATGTGGGGGGTGATGTTTTATAGAGTGGGTGCCATGGCAAAAAAAGGCATGTCTCTTGGGTCCTGCCAGATGAAACTCTTTCACAGATGGGTTTCCATAGCATATATCTGTTCTGTGGACCAGATGAAATGGGCAGATATAACAGAGAAAGTGGTCCCTCAAATAACTCAGCCCCATGCCATGATAGTCTTTAAAGATCAAAAACAGCACCTTGAATTGAACCCAGAAGTAAACTGGCAACTAATGCCACTCAAAGAGCAAGGGTGTAACACGCTGTTCTAAGGGGCAGACATAACTGCCTGTGCCGCTGCATTCTGCATCAGCTGAATCCTCTGAATGCATCCAACAGCAGCCCCATGTAGAGGAGATTTTAACAGTCCACTTGAGGGGTGATCAGGGCAGAGTGACTGTAAGCGGAGCCTACTGGTCTAGCAATAGGCACAATTGGCACACAACATGAAGTTTGCAAAAGCCCTTCTCATCCCAAATTGCACATCAGGCCTGTTTGGGACAGTGCTGAGAAGAAAGGTACCTACAGGACGGATAGGTGTTATATGGACTACAATGAAATAGTCTGCTTTCTGAGGAAGGAAGTAGCACATTCCAAGGAAAGAGATGAGACAATAAGCATACAAGCCTATGTAGCTTGGTACAAGCTTGGTAGGAGACAGAAGAAGAGAATTAGGATAGCCACTCTCTAGAATCTGCCAGGGTATGTCAGTTGGGGTAAGAGTAGTGAAGGTTTAATATGGTGAGATTCTGGCTGTTGGTTATAAAGAAATAAAGAACTGAAATTTGACTGGATTGTTCTATGTCATTCTTGGACTGAGTGCAATCCTATAGAGTCCAAAGGTGGCATAATCCCTGAGCTGAAGAGTCCAAATACCCAGAGTCACTCAGTCTTGCCAGGGTTCAGCTGAAATCTGTTGTTCCTCAACTCCACAACTTCCAGGCATTGGGGCAGAACATCAACAGTGTCTTTTAAGTCACCAGGGGCAGAAAGGTATATTGCATGCAGATGAGATATTGCATCCATGGTGATGGATGATCTCATCCATGGCTTCGTGTAAATTTTTGTCCTGCACTTTACTTTTTATATTGAGAATTAAGCTTCCTAGGCTAGCAGATTATTTTTCTCTTGATAAGAAGCATCACAGTCTAAATTATGGTCTATTTGACTCCAAAGATATTTTTTTATATAGAGTTATTCTTCAGGCATAAATATTTAAAGAGTCTCAGATTATAGTTGTTCACTTTCTCTCACCATCTGGTCTGTTCTATTATGTCATTTAAATTATTGATGGGCTAAAGGAAGACGTGCAATTTGAAATTTGAGAAATCAAAAATCCAACAAACAGCCCTAGCTTTTAATGGCTACACAGAATGTTTGTCTCTTACACACTATGCAATTGCAGAAATAAAGGTCAAACTATAGCACAGCATTTTTATATGAGTTTCTATCCCATCATGTCAGTAAGGGTCAACAGTTACTTCATTGACTAACCATTTTTTGATAGCCTTCTCTAATATCTTCAATACCACATTGTCATGGGACCATAAGTGATTCAGGCAACGTTGACAAAATTGAAAGTTTGAAAAAGTCTCCAGATCTCTACGTGCAGGCAGTCCAGCTCCCTTTACTTCAAGAAGAGGAATGATACCAAATATTGCTCAGGCACAAAAATAATTCATATAAATGAGAAGCTTGCAAATAAGGTATCCATGGAGACCTTTTTGTAGAACTATATAAACAACTGTCTCTTTCCCCACTAATTTAATGCCATTCTCAATCCAGCAATGATTGCTAAATTAATTGTACAAATTAAAAATGAAGGTTGGGAACACTATTTCAAGAAAGCAACCCTTTTTCTTATGTCTTTCATGCAGGGGTTCTAGGGATGATGTTGTACATGGTGCTATTGTCAAGGATTTTCTTTGGGTAGTGACACATGAACCTATTACCCAATCACAACAGGGACATTTAAATTGATTTATCTATATTTGGATAAAAAGGACTTTCCAATAAGCAGTTTTGGATAATAAAATTTTTTTGAGTACACTTGGGTCTGTAGTAATTATTTTTAAACGATTTAATACCTGGAATTGTATCTGTGCAGCCCTTTGCCTACTTGTTACACTTGCCTTTTTTTTACAGGTTACCCAGATGAGTCGACCGGACTTGATCCTCTTCCTTATGAAATATCTGATGGCCCTCATAGTAGGAATCCCATCAGTCTTTTGGGTTGGAAGTAAAAAGACTTGCTTTGAATGGGCCAGCTTTTTTCATGGGCGCAGGAAAAAAGAGTGAGTTGAAGTCCATATACTTGGAAGGTGGGGAAGGTTGAAATATATGAGAAGCCAAATCTGCCTTTTCTAGTTGATATGTTAAACCAAAGCCCATAAATGTCATACCTGCTTACTTCCACTACTTGTGCTTTCAGAATTAACAATGAATCCAGAAACACCTTCTCACTATAAACTTGATTTTAGGAGATATACAACTTACCCCATTAGTTGGATCCTTCTGTCCAGGAAATACATTTTCCATTGATTTTATTTCCTGAGTTTTCAGCTTGTTTTCCATCCTCAGTTCCAAAATTATCCATTTTGGATTTATAGGTAAAAAGAACAGGTCAGATTGCCATATATTGATGACATTGCATTCCAAAACTAAAAGTGACTTTCCTTGGCAATTTTATGAACTATAAATGTTAATAGCATGTGCAATAAAACTACGGTGGCACAGTATTGCAGTACTGAATGCAATATTGCAGGCTAACTCTGCCCACAATCTGGAGTTTGATCCTAATGGGCTTGAAGTTGACTTAGTCTCCCATCCTTCCAAGGTTGGCAAAATGAGGACCCAAATTGTTGGGGGCAATATGCTGGCTCAGTAATAATGTTATAAAGCAAACTAGTGTTTGCATTACTTTCCAGGACCAATTTGTCAAGTAGAATTAAAGGCCCCATAATACCATTCCTCCCCAAAGCTTATTATATTAGTTAGATGGCAGCTAATCTACAGCAGCCACATGAAATGACCAAATTGTGTCCAAGCTTATGTATGTTTGATGGTTGCAATATTCTGGGAATGATACAATGCAACTTGTAATTGTAGTGGTAATTTTTAACCATATTCAACATGTCTGCCATGCATTGTCTTAATTTTGAATGATACAGATATAACAGAAATATGTACTTCTGAATTCATGCAGTATAATCAGTGCTCATTGTTGCTTAGCTTTTTCTATATACTGCTGCTTCCATTTGTCTCTTGGTGTTAAACTGATTGATATTTACCAGGGTTGTTAATGAGAGCCGACAAGTACTTCAGGAACCTGACTTTGCTCAGTCTCTTTTGAGAGATCCAAATACACCCATAATTCGCAAATCCAGAGGGACTTCCACCCAAGGGACTTCTACTCATGCCTCCTCTACACAATTGGCTATGATGGATGACCAACGAAGCAAAGCAGGCAGTGTGCATAGCAAAGTTAGTAGCTACCATGGCAGCTTGCACAGGTCACGAGATGGCAGGTGAGAAATTAAAATATTATCCTGTAAATACATAAGCAGAGTATAAATTCTTAGCAAAGCCAGGGCAGTATGAATTCAAAGGAAATGAGTCAATGTTCCTAATGTCAATGTTCCTAACAGTGATATGCAATTGTTCTTCATTCTACCTACTGTAAGCTAAATTGAAATAAAATTTAGCAAGTTGTTTTCTAGGGCTTATGCTGTCTTTCCCTAACCTAGTATATTCCTAATGTAATGTAAGTTTGTTGTGTATGTCTGAAACATATTTAAAGCATACCATTTGAGGAAGTCAGTATTTGGTTGAGCTTCTGTTACAAGATCTCCACATTTAGAGAAATTCAGTGCAAATTAGGAAGTCAAATGCTCTAATTCTTAGCAATTCCATTCATATTCAGTGATATATAACTAATTAATGAGAGAATCATGTCTAGAGCATTTTATAGCCATTCCAGAGTGCAAGATAGAGATAGATGATAGATAGATAGATAGATAGATAGATAGATAGATAGATAGATAGAT